GGAGAGAGTGGAAGAAAGATGAAAGGCTTTTTTTAAGAAATGTTTTCCATTGACCTGAAGTGCAACAGTATTCAGTGAACGTGGGTGCTTAGTAAAACCTACATTCTAGTTTTCAAGGATTTTCAGTTTCAGGTCTCAGGAGCCCAAGTTTCTCACAGGAAGCAATAGGATACATCCAAATCTACAAAGGGATCCCATCAAAGCATTTAGTCTTCAGACAACATTTGCAGACTGCAATCTACAATCTTAATTCCCTACACACTGCTGGGAAACAGCTACAGACACCAGAACACAATCTAGAAGTCATCAAAGCCAAGGCAGCAACACCTTGCTTATGTCCCACCATAGATGCCTACATTCCTGTATGGGTCTAGCCCTGAGTACATCAGGCTGGGCATCCAACCTCTGGCATCTTGACTGCTCATATGAAACGACAGTCAAGTTCACCAACATCAGTGCAGAACTAACCAGATGGCACTGACATGGAATTAGGCAACCAGATACCATTTTAACTTCTTTCTTCTCTGATGATCTCCCATTACATTCTCATGGGACTAAAGATAAACCCTTCATAATCAGTGATATTTCACAATTAAAACTATGGGATAAGAAGAGAACTCAAAATTTTGCCAACACCTGATGATCACATGTGGTATCTTGATATGCAGGCCACTTACATAAAGCACAAAACCAGCTCCTCTGAGTTTCCAAAAGGCACTCCCTCCTCCAATTATAAGTCCATAAATCCTTAGGCCACATGGGGACTGAAGTATCACCGATTATTGCTCCAGGACATTGTACCTTTCATATCAGACTCAAAGCTCTCAACAACAGCAAAAGACTATATTCTAATTTTCACACAGAGCAGATTACAAAATAGATGGAAAAATCATAGTGAACTTATTAAAGCAGGTATCATGGTCACAGCAAAGAGCAAGTACATTCTTAGCTTTTATGTAATATTAAAAAGGGGGTCCCTTCATCAAAATAGGATGTGTCACTAAGGGCTGATTTGATGCACACATGAAAGAGACTACACTTACGTAACACGTTCTCTTCAGCAATAAACCTAAGATAATTTTCATAACACATCAGAGTTTCCAAAGACTGCAGACACAGCTTTGGCTTCAGCAAAAGCACTGTGTGTGAAACAAGGTTTAGAAGTAGTATAGATTTATCAATAATTCAGATACCACCAACTTGTTTTTCTTGTTCCTTTCTAACATGTACCTACCTTACTTCCCAGAGACTGAGTAGGCAGATAACTTTATTGCCAATGCAGATTGCATCACTGCCACGATGACAAGATATTGACATTTTCATAAACTATTTATTAGTGCTGGATTGTTCAGGTCACCTTTGATGGAAGAGCTAGCTGAAAAAGCGTACATATCAAAGCTGAGTAGAAATGGGTCTCTTTTAATCAATCTGCAGATGCCTTTAGTAAGAGGTAATTGCAAGTCAATGTATAATTATTACAAGCTATGAAAACCAGCTACTAAACAGATCTGCATGCTAACTCTGGAAATCAAAGCTGTGGCTTTATAAGACTGTTCTGTAAATGAGTTTCAATATTGACACCGAAGTTCACTAAATCTATCTAAAAACAGGAAAAGACTTCACATAACAGACTCAAACCAGGCAGGTTGGCACAAAGGTATGAAACTGCCTTTGACTTCTGGGAAGCCTATTTCAATCTTCTACACTTTTGACCATGAACAAAAAAAAAAAAAAAAAAAAAAAGTCTCCTGATGTCCAGAATCCCTTCTTTTGCAGGATTGACTGAGTTTGGTTTGGGTTGGTTTTGTGATGTTTTTTGGTTTTTTCCCCTCTCATCTCTTTATCTTACTCTACTTCCTGAAGTCAACAGTCTTCTCAAAAAAATCTTGGTACAACTATGAGCAACAACCTACACCAGTCTTTTCACTGGACTGAAGCAAACTTGATTTGGATCTTCAAGTTTAAGTCTTCATAGCACTTAATGAACAACTTGCATTAATTCTTCTCATTAAAAAAAAGTATCGAAGTGCTCCAAAGAGTGTTCACAATGCAGTATCGCTCACTTGCGCAACTATGTGGTCACTAATGGCCAACCCCAGGCATGGGACTTCAGAGCAAGAAAAGAACAACAACTGGGAAAATCTCCAAACACACAATTCTCACAGTAACGGTTGCTGGTTTACATTTTGCTAGTGACTGACTAGAACACCATACTTCACATCAGATCAAGAGAGTAGCAAGTCTCCCTGAAAACTGCATGCAACTTCAGTTACTGAAAATAAACTTACAAGGTAGATTAGAAAGTGCATCAAAACTGAGGGGGTGGACAGATGGGATTGGGTTAAGGTCTCTAACAATGACAGATTTTGCCTAGGGAAAAGCATCCTTAAAGTAACATGTATATATTCCAAAGAGTAACCACTGACTCAAATGCCGTAAGTTTCTTAAGAGCCATATATGTGTTGAAATAGTCATGATTCATGTGTAACCCTAAACATTCAGGCATATAATTAGCAGGAATGTAATTAAGCATGATTTAATTTCCTCTAAAGGGTGGGGCAATATGATCTAAGACTATGAAGAGAAAATACAACAGCCATTAGACAACTGATGAATTAGGAAAGAATCATGGTAGCTATCTTTGCAGAATAGATCATATGAGTCTTCACAGTTTTAACATGCATCTTTTTTGCAATTAAGAAATTTCAGCTATAGCCATTGTTTCCTAGTATAAACAGTGCAGGTTGCTAAAATAATGATCCTGAGAAAAGAACAGTTGTTAACTGTTATGACAGACACACGGTCTGATCAGCCACCTGAAAATAACCACACTGTTTGGTACTGTAATTTGGCAGGGGAAATTGCAACCACTGCTTTAAAACTCTGAAACTCAATAGCCATGAGGCTTTAATGCTCTACGCACAGAGCTCACAATTTATTTCAACTTGAAGATGTGTTTTCCCCCTCCAGCGTCAGTACACACCTTAAGTTACAAGGGGTTTTGTTCACATCAAATTCTTATCTACTGCCCATAGCAGTGACCACTCAGCTAGGAGCAGCATGTATTCATGAATTAACAGACTATGTCTCATCATCTACATGTGACTCATAATTGCACTTTTAAATGAAATCACAAGAAACTTCTAAAAACTGCTATGTACTGTTTGGGAATTCAAGTAAGAATATGAAGAGTATTAGCTAAAACTTCTAAAATCTCCTCAGAAACAGCAGCAGTCAGCTCCTACACACTCTGTTTTCTGCCGACCTGTCAACCATGCTCACCTGGATATAGATTAAAACTAAGTTTGCTACAACCTCAGAGAGCTTCAAAACATCTTATGCACTTTGTACCCGACTTGTTACTGACAGCATTTTAATAGGATTTCACAAGCATGATTTTTAGGTCACAAGTGGTCCATCATCATCTGTAAAAGCCAAAATCATAATTGGGAATTATATAGCAGACATCGGGAGGGAAAGAGGGAAGATGAGAAAGACTGTTTTAGACTGCAAAACAAAATTAAATACCAGAATCATGGACTATCTTCAATCTTATAATCATAGTTAGTTGTGTAAAGTGATCATATGAATTGGTATAATTGGCTTTCTATCCTATTCTTCCCTTCTACTGTGTGTTGTTTTAGGGTTTTTTTTGTCAGCAAAGCACTCCACTGAGTTACAATTATTTTCCTAATCCTCTCCCCTGCAAAACACTTGTGTAACCATGTCAGAAAGGCCAACACATCCAATTCCTGACTAAAGTACTGTTCCTGGAAAACACTATGTCCTTCCATGCTGATGGGTCATGAGTCTCAAAGCAGTCTTGGGTAATTGGAAAACCAAGAGCTGTTCAGTACACATGCCAGAATACTGGCATGAGGAACTGACAGTACAAAGCCTCGTTTCAAAAAATAGTTTCATGACTAGGAGACCAAACAAGAAAAGTATGGCAAGTCATGTCAATAATAGATTTAAATCACAACCTCCATAATGCCACCCTTTCGCCAAAACTGTGCAGTGCCACCAATTCCCACTACTGGGACAGATCAGGGCCCCACTCAGCCCCTCCAAAATGATTTGAATTTTGCCTGTAAATCCCCTCAGATAATCCAGTACCCCAGCACACAAGCAACAGTGCCCCTGCCAAAGGCAGCCCAGCCCAGCAGGATTTAAAGCAGTGTCAAGCCACTCCCACGGAGAGGTTTTTTTTGTTACTTCAAGTGCATCATTCATCTTTCAATATTTCACACCCGCTCTGAAAATACAGCCACTCCCTACTTCAGCGGAAGAACCTGAACACTACACAAGGTGCTCATACAGTGACAGACACCCACAAAAGCACCCAAACGCACTGCTCAGCATCTTGACCATACTCCGAACTTCAGTTGGCTTGAGTTTAAAGGACTTTGATCCCCAGTCTTACAATGAGAAGCCGTGCAGCAGTAATACTTACACACAAAGAGTCAAAAACCCCTCAATCCACAAGGAACTAAGCAGGAAAAGAGGCTGAGGGGCCATATTGGCAAAGTTATCGGTGACACCTTCACCCTGATTAACTGTTGAAACATACCCACGTCATTAAAAAATAGTTACGTATATTATAAAGACAACTTATTTTTAAGAACTGCACGGGGAGGACCCTGGTTTACTAAGCTTCTCTGTCCGCCGGTGTGTTAAGCCCGGTTACAGTCTCCCTCCTGGAGCCCGGTGAACCCTCCGCAGAGCCGCGATCCCTGAGGAGAGGGGCCGGCTGCGACCCCCCCTCAGCGGGGCCCGCCCCGGCACGGGCGCAGACGCCGTATCACCGGGACTTATAACGAACTGCAACGACCGGCGGCGCAGGGGACACAGACACCACACCCCCCCAGACGCTCGCTGACAGCCACCCAACTGCCACCGTCACCGCGCGGCTGCCCGGGGCGCGGGTCCCTCAGAGAGCGGGCAGCCCCCCGACAGCGGCCCCGCGGCCAGAAGCGAAGCGGCTCGGAGCTGCGGCTCACCGGTTGCGGCGGGGGCGGGGGGGACGGGACCCTCCGCGCTGCTCCGCGCTCCTCAGGGCGGCCCGGTGTTTCCTCCGCTCCGCGGCGGCGGCGGAAGGGCGTGCCGTCACCTCCGGGGCGGGGCCGGTTCCCGGAAGGGAGCGGGACGAGGGGGGTGCCCGGGCTGGCGGGGAGGGGTTCGGGCTGGGCCGCCCGTGGGGGGCTGCCCGGGCCCGGAGCGGGTTTGGGCTGGGCCGCCCGTGGGGGGCTGCCCGGGCCCGGAGTGGGGGGCGGGTTTGGGCTGGGCCGCCCGTGGGGGGCTGCCCGGGCCCAGAGTGGGGGGCGGGTTTGGGCTGGGCCGCCCGTGGGGGGCTGCCCGCGCCCGGAGCGGGGGGCGGGTTTGGGCTGGGCCGCCCGTGGGGGGCTGCCCGGGCCCGGAGCGGGGGGTTCGGGCATGGCCGCCCGTGGGGCAGCGCGCAGGGTGTGAGGGAAGGGCGACTGAGTGCCCGGGGTGAGCACGGCGTCGTCGGGGCGGTTTCACACTCTGCATCACACATAAGCTGGAAATAGGAACGGATCCGGTATTTGGGGGTGTATGTGTCTTTTCAGAGTCTCGTTTGCTGCCCCTCAGCAGCACCCCGTCCCTCCCTTTAGACACACCACACCAGCTCCCACCAGCTGCTTTGTTTTTACCTCAAACCCAGGCCGTATCAGAGGGGGCAGCTCACATGAGGGCACAGGAGTGTGTGCTTATGCTGACTGCAGCGGAAAGAGAACTAGCTACTGCTATTTAAAACTTGGTCATTTTCTCATTTACACAGTGCTGTCATGTGCTGATTTCTGGGTCCTTTTTTTTTTTTTTTTTTCCCCCTCCCACAGCTCAACACAGCCAGATGTGAAAGCAGTGATTGCTTTAGCAAGACAAAGGCACAGCAAGTAAAATGTTATTTTAGTTCAGAAACAAGGGGGAAATACTTCTGAACACAGCCAGCTAAGCAAATTCAGAAACTTAACTTTTATTTTTGAGCACTGCAGAAGCAGGGACAGCTACAAACCTCTGGGCTGTTTCACATGAACGCCTGAGTACAGAGGGAAGGAAGTAGAACTGAAATTATCTGATCCCAGCCAGTCTGCCTCCGGAGACTGCAGACATTGTGTAAGTGCCATCTGTTAAGGAAGTGATAGTGGACGAGTTAGTGGTTGGTGCTGTTAAGTGAAGCCTGGGACGAAGACTGGTGTCTTACTTTTTGTTTGCAGTCATGTAAAGCAAACTCAAATCATAGTGAATATGAGGAGGGGGAGTGCAGTGGCTGCAGACCAAATTAGTCGGATTCCAACAATTTTCAATGTAATATACTTTTATTGCACAACACAAACTTCATATCCACATTTTCTTCTATGTATTTTAAATAAAACCCATAGACTATATATTACCTGAACTGAAAAATCAAACATAGTAAGAAATAATACACTACAGTACCCACAGTATTAAACATCACACACCAATTTACTTAAAACACATTTGGAGATAATTCCAAACCCTGATCATTAGCATCCAGGCTAGATTTTCAAAGGCATTATGGGTAACAATGCATAGACACATACAATTTATAATTCAGCAAAACAAAATCCATTTATAAAAGTCACAGTGAAAGTGGAGGTAAACTTATACTAAGCTTGTGTAAGTAAAATGCCTAATAACTGCTGTTCTGGAAAGAAATTTCCAGTTAGAAACTATATACAGAAGATAATGACAAAACATAATTACCCTCTGAAATCTAGCTTATTTGCTGAGAGATAATGAAAGACTGAAGGAGTTTTTTTCTGTTTGTTAAATTAAACTGTGTTTCCATAGCCCAAAAGTCAGAACTGTCCCAGGTCCTCTCTGCTGTATGCCAACAACCTGGAAATATTTACAGTTGTTTACCTACAAATAACCAAAGAGATCAGTACAACTCCAGGGTTCAGTAATAGCAATTTTAACTTGCAGCCAGTGAGGTCTATAAATTGTCCAGTGTAACACATTTATTAAATGAAGAAAGTGAAAGAAATATAATGTCCCAGAGATTTATCATGAGTTAAGAGATCATCTTTCTACAGACTCTGCTCTGAAGTCTTCTCTTACCTGCCAGGCAGTTGTGTCCCAAACTTGATTACTCTGCTTTGCCAGGCTGAAAAGAAAGATCCAATGCATAAGCTGTGAAATAAAGGTCCTCAGACCTCTAAACAACAATGCTGAAATTCAAGCAGTGTGACCCTGCAGTCACCTCATCCATCACCACTGTATTTCCCAGTGCAATCCACAGCCACTGCATTTTCCCACCCACTGAACTTGATATATCACAATACAATGAATTTACACAGAAAATGGATGAACACAGTCGAGGTTAGCTGGGCTTCCAGACAGACTGGATCCTCTGCCTGACCTTACGTAAGTGGTGACAAATGTTCCTCTGCTTCACACAGCACAAGAGTTGAAATAAAACAGAAAGAACACTCTGCAATGCAAACAATCAGCTCTGACATGAGACTTTCCCTGTTGGCACTTCCATCATCTTCCTCATTATGTCACCTGTCCCAAGACATCTATAAGCAAGAATGAGCAGTGAGAATAAAGTTGTGAAGGAAGGTTCCCAGGAGCTGCAAATTCCAAATGAAGCTAGAAAATCATGACCTTTAGTTAGATCAGTACTTTATTTTTTTTTTTTTTAAGAAAAAAAGCAGATAGATGAGAAATCATACACTTATCCTTCAGCTCACAGCAAGCAGTAAACAAGGACCTCAAACCCCAAAATACTGGTACTTAGCTTGAATACATATTCCTATGAAACAGATGTAAGTCCTTAAAAGAAGTAAGAGTTTACATTTCTTAACAGTCTTTAGAAAAAAATTAGAAGAGTGAAATTAAAGTGATTATGCTATAAATAAGGGGTTTTAATTAATTTACTCAGGTATTTTGTCTGTAATAAGATTTTGACTGATTCTTTAACACTACCAGTCACCATATTGTAATATTAAAATAATCTCTTTAGTTTAAAACAGACTAAGTATTCACCTTGCAAACAAATTTGAGGGTGCAGCAGGGAGAAGTAAAACATTTCCTGCACATATGAGTTGTACATCTTAAAGGTTAGAGAAAGGGGTGAGAACCAAGGGGGAATCCAGTCAGAGTCATTATCTCACTGTGAATCTTCAGGCTAAACACCTCATCTCCTTACGCCTCTTACACTTCATCTACCAAATGGAGATGTGGGGGAGTGTGGATCGGGATTTCACCAAAGTCATCCTTCAGAGCTAGTGAGGATTGTCCCTGGGGAAATACACTGCAGAACTAATTCCCTCCCACTTTCATATTTGCAAATGCCAGCACATGCTCAATGCACAGGATACATTTGAAACAGGCTGTATTCAGTTCTGGGGGGGCAGTGATCAGCAACCTCACTAAGCTTCAGATTTCACTAGGAAAACAGATATACCGAGAACCATAAATTAAAGAACTGGCCAACCTGTCTGTCTTTCACAATACATACATTGGAACAATCTGGCTCAAAACACATTGGGGCTTAACAAAGCTATTGTTTAGAACAGTTTAAAATATCAACATCCTTCAGAGTTTGCTGGAAGTTTAACAACCATTTCTGTGAAGGCCAGATTATGTGCTCATGCAAATCAGTACATTTCTCATGTGACCGAAGTCTTTGACTTTTACAGTCAAGGACTTGTGCTCGCCAGATACAACCCTGGGACTACTTTGTTTCACTGTTGAAGCATCAGGCATCTAAGCCAAGCAGAAGAATGGAGACTACACTTGGATTTAAAAGTACTGATTCTCTTAATGCACTCGTTGAGAATCAAGGAAGATTCTTGATTTTCCTGTAACTGTAACAGCCTTTACTTTTTCATACACTGAACACCTCTGGGATGGGTGATTTTACAAAATGGCGGCAGGGGACATCTAAGGCATAAACAGGCTTATCGGAAAACAGATGTTTAACTCAATCCTTAACTCTCATGCTAATTTCAGAGAAGAGTATTACACAACTGAACAACAACAAAATCTCAAAAATACTCCCATTAACAAATTCAGGTATTTGCATGTATTACATCATGAGGTATCTCCCAGGCAGACTTCCTAACACTCAAAAAATCCATCAAAAGGGGCATATGCAGAACTTTCTACTGCAGTAACTTGCTGCTTTTGCTATTCAGATAACTAAGACTTGAAAACCCCCGAAATAAAACAAAGGACCCACACCCTCATCAGTGCAGAAACTGATCCCTCATTACAGGTTTTGGTTAAAATCAGCTTTAAAAAAATTTTAAATCCAGCAGTCTCAGGAGAAAACACACACCACAAGAACGAGAGAGAATCTGTTAATGGCTCAAAGGCTTCCAAGATCAAAGATGTTCAGATTACTACATAGAGTATTGTGGTATTCAAGTTAAGAAGGCCACACCAAGTTGAAAAGTTATGTTATTTTCGATTTTTTTAAAACTCTTGAAATCAAGTCATTAAGTGGATGCTGCACAGAAACATAGGTACCTTTACATGTCATTTCTGAGTGCTTAGACAAGTAGGTATCCTTCCTAATTTGCAAGTGTAAAACAGATGCAGAAACACTTCATGTGCTGTGAAACTGGCCAAGACACTTTGCTCCCTGTTAAAAACTACTAGACAATGCAGATATAGAGATGTTAAAAGATTACTCTTATGTTTTTGTTCAGACACACAGCAACCTAAAAAAAATAGCTAACAATTCTACTTTTTAAATAACTGTCCCTCAACTGCCCCACCATTACCTCCAGTATTCATAAAAAACAGAGTAATCACTGCAGTCCAAATATGCAATCCCTGCTTTGAAAATATTTGAGACTTCTTATTGGGCGGGGGGTGGGGGTGGTGGGGAAAGTGTAGATTCTAACACACATGTTCCTGTGTATCAGTTTGGAACCAAAAATGGTATGTGTCTTGTCTCAGAACACAAAATTAAAACTGTCCTTCCTTCAAACTGTATTAGCTAAATGGACTGACATGAACTGACCTTAGCGATCTGCAAACATGATATTCATAGCAACATTATATTGATGACATGAGACCATTTACTGCATGGCCAATTTGTCCATGGTGTCAGCTTGCAAACACAGGGTATTTACGAGTGTGGGGGTGCAAAAGTAGCTATGTAGATGATCAAGGGGCAAAAAAGCTAAGTAGGAGAAGCATAGAGAAATAGGTAAATATGTTCTAGGAAACTTCTGGCCTAGCCAGATATGAAGAAAAGTCCTAAAGAAAAAAACAGTATTACAGAAGCATTTAGTTTAATTAGACAATTATAAACCATTCATGATATACAAAAACATCAATCATCTTAAACATGGATTTCGTAATTCAGCTACTCACATTTTGTTGCAAACGCAGAATTTCAAAAATTACACTATACGCCAAGAAAAAATAAGTCAATAATGTTATATAAACCAGTTATTAGACTATACTCCCCTAACATCCACCTGCACAACTCTTCCATTCTGTCAAAAAATGAACACATATTAGGCAATATCATCTAAATCATTGTAAACAACGACTGCTTAGAACAAGTGTAGTCAATAACAATATTGTTAACTTGCACAAATCACAATACAGAATGTATGTGTTTAATGAAAGCATGTTGGCTCAAATCCATGTTTTCTTTTTCAATATTGCACTTAATGTTTGCTGTCTTCTGGAGGATCTGAAGGATGAAAGCTTCAATTAAGATGAAACTGATACAGACCAAGATTTGAATGTTATCTTTTTGGTTAGGTAATGTTCCTTACTTATTTAAGCAACAAACAGGAAAATGTTCTAAAATATCTGCGTATGCATATTAAGAAACAGCAAACATGATTGAAACAGAAATTTTGTACTCATAGCTTCTCTAGAATAACAGAAGAAAAATTCTTAAAAGCCAAACCAAAAAACATACTGTTAAATCAGACTATGTTCCATTTCTGCAAGTAGTGCTGAAATTCAAACCAGAGTTATGTCCCATGTAAATACATATATGGGAAGTTGCAAAAAACCACCAAATAATCCAGTAAAACTGCAATTCTCATTGCAGTCTCAAAATAAACTGATGCTGAAAATCCTGAACATAAATGTCTAGAGTGTACAAGCAGCCAAAACTTTGTAAGCCTCAGCTTTAAGATCTTACATCATTTTACTAGACATTGTGGTTTGCAGTTTAAGATTCCCCGAAAAAAAAATTAAATAAATAAAACAAATTAAGCCAGCACAGTAGTGAAGAAACCATGCAAGCTTCCTCTCATTTTAGGGAAACTTTACTAGTCTCAGTTTGACTTTTCATTTTGGGTTGTCAAAACACAATTACAACAACTTGTAACAAAGGCCAATATTTAAGAAAACAATTTAAATGAAGTTAAAATGAGATCCAAATGCATGTAATTGCCTCCTTCCCTCCATTTCAAAATTTAAGCTCTGGACTTGAAACTCTGCACTTGACAATGATCCTCTGTAAATAAACATTTGAGAAGAGATCATTAGAGCTATATACTCCCACCTCAGAGAGACAACTTACTAAAAATTCCTAAATCAAATACATAAAAGTGTAACAATGCAAACAATTTGCCTCTTTTTTGCAACACAATTTGATCATAAAGTCTTATAATTATTCTAAAAATTACCTCAGGTAACTGAGAATTTTGATCTCTGTAATTAGCATGTTTCTTAAGTGTTTTGGTCAAAAGTTTAATTAAGTAATATTCTTGGATTAACTAATCCAATGGAATGCAGTATGCAAACATTTACTTTCCCTCTCTCCTTCAGATTTTTTGAGGACATTTCAAGTGGGGTCTTCTAGAAATATACTTGAGTTTTCTGTACCTCACAAAACCGAAATATCTTCAGATGTTTAGATCTACCTGTCAGTTCTGGACATAAAGTAATTAACTTCGGGCTGTCATTGCTAATGTTAGAAGTGCAACAATTACCTTCTGAAAAGAATATGACTCTGTAATGGCTGCTCTTCTAGTGTGGAAAGAAATTTACTACCTGGATATACTAGTTTATAATTGGAGAGAGATATGAAGATTGAAATCTTTTTGCTTGATATTACACCAGGAAGGATCAACAAGAATATTAAAAATTAGACTTAATTTTCTGAAGAAGGTGGGGTGAAGAAAGCACTGGTCTAATATCATCATTTGACTCTAACTCTAGAACAAAGTTTAATATCACAGAATGTAAAAAGAGTCAGTAATAAAATAATGTACATTAAATATTCCTCTTACTTCTGCTAATAGGAACGTACATATAGGTTTTTCTCATTTACCAAAAGCCTTTGTAAATGACCTGATTCTATGGAGCTTCTTTTTTTTGTAGATATTGTAAACATTTAGAATTTCTAAGGCTAAAAACAGGCACAAGTCTTCCATGAACAGTTATTATTCCTAAAAGCATTAAGGAATATATTCCAAATCTGATATTCCTTTTTGTAACAATGGAAATAATTGAAATATAATAATTCACAATGCAGATTCTTAATTAAAAAAAATATAGCTTAATCGTGACAACAATGAATAATATATAGGGAATACTTTTAAAATTATCTATTACATCAAAATTACATTTCCAGAATCTGTGCTGGGTGTTACTCAAATTTATAAAGTGGTAAGTGACTAAAACATTTCTAAGTGGGTAAAATTCAACCACATTTATGTCAGCATTATTAGCACCCTGGCTTTATAATAATGCAGGTGAGATCTGCAATATCCATTTTGCAGACTATGATAGTAAAGCCACACAGTAGGTGGCACCTTTTAAAAGATGTTAGATGCTCCTCTCCATAATTTCCATGAGGTGATTTTGTTTTGTGCCTCGTTAAGGTACCTGAGCCAACAGTCTTGTTTCAGGCTGGTTTTTCAAGATTTCAGAGGTTTTTAAACCTCTGTAACAGGTTCCCTTTTGCTGAGCAGCTAAGCATTAGCCAACATTTCAGCAGACTGATTCCAATATGTTAGCAGCAGTGCATTTCCAGAGACACGTTGCAAAAATATTAAAAGCAATTGTCATCTAGAAGTCCTTTTATCCCCTGCACCATTCTGGACAAAATAACTCACCACCAAGTAATCTTGAATTCATAGATAGGACGCTTGCAGTAATAATGATTTATCAGGTGTTTATCACACACACCAATACACTGGTGATCCACAGTTATCCCTCTATCAGACAGGTCTGTCACAATACAGTGCAGAAGATCATATACATCAGCCACAGCCTCCCAGGGGCCAAAAGATACATCTACTTCACAATGATGTTCAAATAGCTTTGTCTCACTTTCACTCCTTTCAAAACGTAAAGAATTGAAATGTGGGCATTCATAGGGAGTGATGGGCATCTCTTCTTTGAAGACACAGACCTTCAGTTTTGCAAATCTTGCTTTTCTTTGCATAGCTCTAAGCTTTGCTATTTCAATTATCCGTTCCAAATGATCTAAAAAAAAAAAGTTGAAAATAACAATTAAGCACCTAGTAAAAGAAAACAAATTCAATTATTGAATGTGAAACATATTACTGCAGTATTTAACAAGTTACTCTTAACATAATATTAGCAGCAACAGGAAGCTCAGGAAGCTGCATGTAGCTAGATCTATAGCAGTTAAATCAATCTCAGTTATCTTGTGAACTTGGTATCCTTACTATATGCCCAAGTTTATTCTGTTGCAGGTCCTAACAGAACAAATGCAGAGGCAGAGAAACCTCCTCGTTTAATAAGCCTTGCATGTTATGGCCTAGATCTTGCTCCCTTTTAAGACAGCATAAAAATCCACATCCTTGGATGCAGCAGGAACAAGCCTGATGTGAAGACCTCAAAGGTCTAAAGATCACAAAAAGTACGTAATAAACTTCTCAAATACAGTGCAATTAGTTTGAAAGTTGAAAGCAGACCTGAAAGCACCACGTATACTACTTGAATCACGCTAGAAGAAACAGTCAATACTACCTTGTTTATTTACCTTTGTAATATGGCATTAGGCCCAGGAAAGCTTGTCTAACTTTTTCTCCTTTAAGAGGCTGGATATCCTCTAGATTGTCTAGCAATGGTCCTATAGAATAATACTGAGCTTCCTTGTAAACTGACCTCACTCGTTCTCTTGGTGGCAGGTCACCAGATCGTAGAAAGTTAAGTATGTCTCTAAAAAAAGGGCAAAAATATTATTAAGTAGCACGTTTCTGCCAAAACTGTTGTGGGTGGGAAAGGAGAGGAAACACTGGATATTAATTGTTTATTCTACTGAGATAGAAATCCTTACACTTAGACAGTAACTGAAATAAGATGGTCCTATTTCCAACATATTTTTAAAAGCATTTGCCATGTTCAAGTTCCCAAGTCATCATTTCACATTTTGCCTCTGTTAATGTCAAAACTCAACTCAAAAAAATACCATCATAGTTTAAACAAAAAGTTCAAGGTGGAATAACCACTTAAAATAGAAGAGGACACAGTATTTCATGGGAAAGAGATAGTGGCCACTGTATTTCAAATTTAGGCCTGTGACAAAATCTTTTCCATTTTCCTGGAGAATCGTATGCATGGACCTTTTATCCCACACAGAGCCAGAATTCTATCTGAATGGATGGGGCATTTGCAAAGAGGTGGTCTCTTCACAGGATAAGGGCCTTATACATCTGTAGTATATGTAATAATAATAAGAGAGAGAACATTTCCTTGTAGTTCTGAAACACTGTTAAACTACAAGTTTTTTAACAGAGAGAAAAATCACTTTAAAAGCATTAACCAACAACACTATTATTGACCATATCAAGTAAAACAAGCGTTACTGCAATCTTCATTAGAACATCAACAAATACAGCAAGTGCTAACTTGGCTCTCTGTTCTAGCTATATTTTGAATTCAGACTGATAACATCACAAATAAATTGATTTTCCAACAAAGCAGCAAGCACTTTCAAATTGTCAAATGTAAAGAAACAATTATTTCCCAATAAATACAGTAGCTTAATCTATTTCTGTCCCAGATTACAGTACAATCCAAATGTGCTCTGAAAATAATTCAATCATTCTCTTTTGAAGAGATTAAGAAATATCTACAAAGGAGAAACAAAAAAATAAGTGAAATCGCAAAGTGTGCTTCGGGCAAAGACCTTAATCCATGAATATTAACTCATGAACATGGCTTACCTTTCCTAGCAATCTCAAACAGAACAATAATAAAATCACAGTTAGTTTAATTAAAAATAAAACAAAAGCTAAACACAGAAGAAGAAATCCTGAGGGTGAAGGAATATGGCACTACTAGCAAAAATAATTTAATAACAAATTCTTTGAGGCTTGTACTTTTTTTACCAGTTATGTTATATACTGTTAAACACTGAAAACATCATACTTTTAACTGTTTCAGAAATCTAGATGCATTCCTTCCATTTTCTCTTTATCATACTGTAATATCAATTAAAAAACAGTGTTGAACAAAAAATCTTCCTATGAATAGCAATGCTAAATACATACTTTTTTAAAACATCAAAACAACTCAATACTTTGAAAGGAGATACTATAGATGAGACAATGCACAAGTTCAAAACATTGTTTTTCTTTCCCCAAATTAAAACTTAAGCCCTTAAGAATAAAATAAAGTACTTTTAAAATTGCAATATACTTTTCTCTTGAGATGTTTTGAGGGTGTGGATGCCAGTGAGTCACATTTACCTACTACACAAATATGATTTAACTAGAAAGGGAAAAAAATATTAGAACTTATTTTTCTGTAAAAATAATTTTCTTCAGTACCAACTTTTAAAGTATACTACTGAGGACACTGTACACACCCAAAGTAGGTTCCATCTCTGTCAATAAAGTATCTGCCTTCAGCATCTGTTGGAATATAGTGTCTTCCACTGAACATAGCCGCCAACATTGTGTCCTCATAACGTCTCAGTGTTGACAGTCTTGTTGTAAAATACATGCCTCCTACGTTTAGTGGAACAACTTCTGGAAACTGCAAAAACAATCACATCATCAGAATTGAGCCTCTAGTCCTTTGCAGACATGTTCAGGCCAAAAGGGTTCGTGCTTCTACAAGACACAGCATACAGTCTCTGCCACTGTGACAAAATTTGGTCTGACAAATCCTTTATTCCTGGCCTGTCACCACAAAACAGTGAAGTTTAAGGGTTAACAACTTGAATACTTTGGCTGGCTTCTGGGTGTAATCAGTGACTGTTTTAATTTTAGTTGGGAATCTGGAACAGCAGTAATCACTCAGCTTTAATACCAGATATTCATTAAAAGCATGAATGACTCCTCTTGGCTCTTTTGGGGAAAGAAAAATAAAAGCAAAAAATCCTCCCCACCCTTACACACAAATGCCCCCTCCCCAAAAAAAGGTAGGAAACCTCAGGCCAACCTTGGGACTTGCATTCAGTTGCTACTCTATTGGTTCCTTTACACTACTATGCTATACTATACTACACTAAATATACTATACTAAAAAAAAACAGTGCTTCTGTATTTACATTGGGTTTACAGCAGGCCTAAAATCTTAATATCACACCTTAAGATGCCTCTGTACCAGAATAAGCACTTATTTGTATTTGTCAAGTCCAAATATCAATTGAAATTCTGAGTAGTACTGCCAAGCTATTGAATTAAAATTCAAGAGACGTAGTTTTACTCAACCATTTAGCTACTAATGGAAACCGAACTGGATAACCTGCAACAAAGAAATCCTGAATTCTTTGGCACCTGAGCAGTACGTGCTGCAGGAACTGGACCTTATCGGATGAACAGTACCAGAGAGCTCTTACCTGCTGGGGCAGCAGAGGTAGTGCTTGTCCTGCCTGGGTTGCAGTAGGAGTGGCTGGCTCTTGGAAATCATCCTCCGCATCTGAGCTCGACATGGCATCATCCGGGTTTCCACTCACTTTGTTCTGCCCCGTAACTACCACCATCCCTCTGGCTCTCGTAAGCAGGTCTGCTGGGTAGGCAGCCGTGGCAGTGCTAAATGGGAAACAAGACCCAAATTACTCAGGCGCTGTCCCCACCAGCTGCAGGTCACGTGGCAGGCCAGGCACGTCGCTCCCCGGCTTTACACTGATCATTTACAATGGCATTGCTATTACTGGGAAATGAATCACAGCAAGGATGACTACTGTGCTGAGAAACAAACTCGGAGAGGGCTATCTCTGCAGGAATGCAGTTTGCAGAGCTGTACCAAGGTCCTACAATCACAGAGCCCCTGCCAGTGGCTGGGTAAGAGACCGGCGTCCATTGGCTCTGTGGTGCCGGGCGTGATTGGCTCCGCCACGCTTTTGCAGCAAAATGTCATTTGCTGGGTGAATTTGGGTGGCCGCTGTTCCACCCCGGCCATCGCAATAGGCCATCTGCAGAAGCACGGGCTGCACTGCACGCTCCCATTGGCCGTGTGTGCTGTGCAACACCCGGGCTCCTGCTCCCGACAAAGCTCCCACTCTGTCACCTTCAGCTGCAAGAGCGGATCAGACCCCGCGCTGCACCCTGACAGGCGCTGGAAAGGCTCTCTGTTCAGTTCCAGCACTGCCTGTGAAATGAGAAAATCGAGTTTTCTAACCTGAGAAAACAGACGTTTTCCTGCCCACTGCATTACATCGTACTGTACACAAACGCATACATCTGATATGCATGTATTTAACTCGCATATTATATTGCGCATTTACTGCTAATTATCAATTTCCTGCACAGAAAAAAATGTGTAGCAACACCAACTACAGTGCTTTCACAGTCCGTCTTCAACCAGAGGATGGGATGGACTAACAATAAGCTGCATTATAAAAATAATAATTGAAAGGGCAGAGTAGGAAGGACTAGAAACCCTGCTGTTCTCTTTACACTGCATTATGTAAAAAGTACTTCTGTTTACAGGATTGCTGTGGTGTCTCCAGTAGCATCACAACAGTCTAATAAAGATATTATACTACTGGAGGCTTTATCCAGCGCTCTAATCCTGCAAGCTCCTTCTCTCAAATCACAATAAAATATAAAAAGAGAAGGAATATCTGCACAAGCACATCTGGTACATTTATTTACTGACTAAATAAATGTTTCATAAAGGTTGCTTCCACTCAAAATCAACAAGCAGAAATGGCATAAAATTTTAAAGCCATGATTAATTATTCTGCCTTACTAATTCTGCTAATACAGTCATTATGCACATTGTCAGGCTGTCTGTAGATCTTAGCTCTTAAAGGAAACGCTGCAAGTTCAGAATGAACCCAGACAGAGCTGGGATGCTCCTGGTCAAAACAGATACTCTTTAGAGAGCTAATCAGATCAAAACCTCCACATTCTGTGGGAGTGCACACAGCCTTTTTTCAGCAAAATTTGGAGGTGAATTCTAGATCCTGTTTAACACTCTAATAAACCTAGATAAGTAGGTACCATGAAGTTTCAAAAATTTCTTTTTAAACTGCAGCTTGTTTGACTTCATAATCATTTTTCCACCACAGTACAATGCACAGACAGATAAATAAGGATGGAAGGGCTTCTCAGTGTCCACACAACAATTTTAATATTTGTCCAGAAACAACGCATATTCTGACATCTTCAGTTACCAAAACAAGTCAACTATGCCTCAAAGACACATTAAACATAAATGAAAGATTATTTTGGTAGGGACTCCTTTAAGGAGGTAAATAAATTATCATCAAGAAACAGCTTGCAGAAGCTTAATTTATAAGATGCATAGTCAAAATTGAATGTGAGCCTCTGTTTGCTGTGAATGTATTATTTATAATGCTGTTACTTGACAGCAGTGCTTTGGCTGCTGTATTTCCAGTTCTCTTAAGACTATTCAAAAGAACTCAAGACTGACCAAAAATGTGATCTTTAATTATCTACATTTTTCAAGAATGTCCCATAGATTTCACATAAATGGAGCATACTCTGAATAAACAAAATTCAGCTCCATTAAGTATATTGCAATCATGGACCACAGAATGTGTTTTGGGTAAGTTCCTCCATTTGGCACTGTATCAAAAAGCTCCTCTTTCCCAACAGAAGTAGGATTTTGAGAAAAATAAATTCTTCTTTCATAACCATCCTTCAACATGACACCAAGGTTTATGAAAAAAAATGAGAGAGCATACATTAATTACATTACATTAATGAGTAATAACCTTCTTTGCTCTTGGAACATTCACACAAAACGCTCTCCTAAATAGTGAGGTTTAGCAAACAAGATCTCAGCCCATAAGTAGTCCAGGATTTCAAGAATAAGATTAGTGGCAGTAAAATTAAGAGATTGATCATTGACAAGTTTAACCTGTTTTTTGACGTTCATTAAAGGGTAAGAGAAGTTCCTCTCTAGGCTCGCTTCACTTCCTGTTCATCCACAGACATGGAACAGTGAAAGAGCAGTATGCTGACTGGAACAGAGCTTCCTAAAAGAAAAACATAAGCTGATCACTGGCCAGTTTTCTGACATACAATCTTCTACATTTTGGTTCTCTTCATTTCATAAGTAATATGCATCCATCTGAATATCCTCTTCTTGCCACTTGAAGCATATGCAATAATTATTATTAAATACACACAGAAATATTTGTTAAAGCTCTCATTAAAGTTAGAGAGATTGTTGTGTTTAAGTAAATGCATCCATTTCACTTTCAAATACATCTAGATCAACAGATAATTAATGAGAAAACATTACCAATAAACAAAACTATTACTAAACCAAGTATTTAACTGAACCATACGTCAGCACCATCCAACTCTACCAGAAATACCTCCTTCCAGTTTACAAGCTACCTGTCATTTAAATGGCAGAGATTACTTCCCAAAGCTTTGTTATCGACAGCTCAAATACTGTCTCACATACACACACCAAAGAGAGCTTACTAAATGAACTGGACCTGCAAGTTTTACTTCATTCCCTAGGAAATGATAGCAATCCTAGACTTGCATCAAATTTTACGTGATGCTAAGATTCAGAAAAGCTTTTCAAGGGTCTGACGTTCCTTCAACTTTTCCATATCGGTTTAAATAACTTTCTTTTAAATACCTTCTGAGGTTACACCACTGTTGACAAAGTTACATACATACAGAAGTGACATAATGATAACAAGCCTAAAGTCTTTTTCATCAACATACTGATGTATGAATCCATCATAGCAGACCTACACAAACTGATATTCAAAGCTAACTTATTGGAACGTGTTTGTTTTGGGGAGATACCAACCACATTGTTAGAAAGGCTCTCCCTTTTTCAAGAGAAACTGGGTCCCTGTGAGGATGCAGAATGAGATGTGAATTGGCGGCCTCTCCACAGCATTCTTCAAGAGACTCAGATGGTCAAAGGTTTGGATGAATAAAGCAGGAAAAGACACAACATCCAGTTAATTTTAATTAATCTGTGTCAGAATAGCAAAGAAATAGCCTTAAAAAGGGCAGAGATGCCTGAACTGCAGTAAACTGTATTATACATTTGACTAGAATTCTGGACGTACTCAGCATCTCTAGGCGTTAGCAAAAGACAATACAGAGTATGATGAAGGGATACTGTAACTTAACTTTTGAATCAGAGAGAGAAGACACACTCTACGGGAGGACACAATGGGATGCTTCATCACCAGTGACCCTCCTGGGTAGGAACAGGACAGCGGGGAGGCCTAACTGGAGGCTGCCGAATGACCAGTGGATAAAGGCTACTCGGGCTGTACTCGCAGGTTGCGCCAACTACCACCTTACATTGAATTTCACAGCACAGACAAGCTTTTATGAGCTTGAAGCAGCTTTCCAGCTTCACCACCGTGAGGTGTGGTGGCACCATCCCATCTGCAGACCTGGCTGCACCGTCCCAAGCGAGCTCAGAAACCGAGCCAGACGTGGGGCTGAGCCCGGTGGCCAACAAATTAATTATTAATTCTGCACTTAAGTATTAAGTGTTGCTTACCGCCGCGCTAGGTCTTTCTAAACAGCCTAAACGTTAACGGAGGTCACCAGAAAGCGCCTGCAGATGCGGGAGCTGACTTTCCGCGGTGTGACCGGCCCCCGCCGAGGTCCCGCCGCGACGCCGCCGGCGGTGAGGCGGCGGCCCCAGGCAGGGCAGCAGCTCCCCGCTCCCTCACGGTCACCGGAGACTGCCGTTCTCCCCTCGCTTCGCCGGCACCCCCCAGCTCCCCGGGCCGGGCCGGGGCAGCGCCTCAGCGCGGAGCCGCGGGGGGCGTTTCCCGCCCCTCACCTGACGGGCGCCTCTCGCGCCGCCGCCGAGCCCGCGCCCCCTGCCGGAGCGCGGGGGAACCACCTTGCCACGGCCGCCCCCGCCACCGCCCAGCCCGCCGCCGCGTCTGCCGGAGGAGGGAGACGGGGCCGTCACGGGCGGCGGCGGCGAGAGCTGCGCCGCCTTCCCCCCGCCCGCCCGGGCACCCGCCGAGGAGCGGGCCCGCCCGCCCTCACCTGCTGCCCGCCCGCGGCGGCGGCTCCGGAGGGGACAGCGAGAGCGGCCGCCGCGGCCCCGCCGTCACGTAGGGCCCATCCGGGTCCCGCGCGGGCGGGGCTGGGGAGCGGGACCGGGACTGTCCCCACACGGGGGGCGGCGGGAGCCGCCCCGGCCCCCCCGCACCGCTCACAGAGCCACGCCTGGGTCCTGTTTCGTTTCTTCCTCATTTCTGCTCATCTGTGAGGGAAAACATCCCGTAGCTCATCGATTAATTACCCTGCCGTGAGTGGAGCGCTGGGGCCGGCACCGGGCTCTCCCGCCGCTGGGGCCGGGGCAGCCGGCCGGGCCCTGCCGCGGCGGTGAGGCGGCGGCGGCACCCGCGGAGCTGCCGGCGTTTTCTGGGGAGAAACGAGCGGCAGCACTGCCCTGTGATGGCACTAGGGGGTGCTCCCGGTGTACTTTTGCAAGAACAACTGGCTTTGGTAATGATTTGGTAAATCCGTACCAAACTGTAAAATTAACTTACTTCCTGAAGGCACTCAAGCGTCGTTCATTCACTGGTGGTTCTACAACTGCATGTTACTGGTCTCAAAATGGAGGTGTAGCAACAAAAGAAACAGAGGAAAACCCAAACGGTTTCAAATCCTGAGAGGCAGAGTTTGTGGAAACACAAGCATTTCAGAAAGAACTCTTAAAATCGGCGGAGGATGAGGCCACCTTCAGTATACCGAGAACCACCGAGGTGAGCAGAAAATGAGACACAAAAACCATCCAAATAAAACCTTAGTTGAATAATCACAGTCCACATTCACTGACAGTTGCTCAAAGGTTTGTGATACAAATTTCACAGCAGGGTTTTCAGAAGCAGTTTCACCTGTCTGAACACAGCTGCTTTTGAGGAACAAATTCAATCGGCCAAAAATTACCTACTTTTTCCTGCAGTAAACAAATCTCATGTTACTCTTTTATACCTCTCAGCAGGATACTCTAATTTACATTTTCCTCATCACCCAGCTATTAGCTATTAAAATACATTCAAATTGCAAACGTTAAAAAGAGATCCAAACCTAGGACATTAGATCATATCTTCTGATACACACTGACGCTAGCCATTGGAAAATTGCTGACAGTAAATTATAAGGGAATCTCATCAAAAAAGGTTGTTTTTCAGTCATGCTGACCTGCTTTATCAGTGTACTGGATGAGAAACATCCTGGTTTTGCAGCCTCAAGGACAAGACAGCAGAAGATACTGTGGCTAGAAACTAGACAGGACTATGTAACCACAGAGAAAAGAATTTGCTAATAGGTTGATCTGCACTACGCATGCTCTAAAGGAGGGTTCAACCAAAGGACATTCGAAAACGACTCCCGAAGACCACCAGAGACACCCATGGAACACCCTAAGAGACTTGAAGCACATGCATAATGACTATGTTAACACGATAATTAGTTCCAGGAAATGTAATAAATATGTATCATCATTCTGGGAAATTTAATGCATATACGTGTAACAGGGTAATAAAAGCTTTGACTGACGCTACATACTGCATGCACGACAGGTGGAGCAATCCGCTTGCATCCATCGCCGCAATAAAGAATGCTTGCCTTCTAAACTTTAAAGCTGAGTCTTAGAGGGTTTTGTTGTGACCAAACTTTATGGTATCACTTCCATCCGAGTAATATATCAGTACCTTGAATTATTTAAATCTTAACTGAGGCAAACACATTAATAAAAAAAAAAATCACATTTAAAGCATTTATTTTGAAAAATAAAATACAAAAAGATCATTGAATTGTAATTGTACATGTAATTTATCAACATTTTTTTTTTAAATAAAAGATATTTAACAATTTCCACATGTGAATAAAACAACTGTTCCACCAAAAATCTTTTAGGACAAGCACAGACCACTCTTTTGAAAGCTTCATACATTTAAAACCAAACTGCTACAGAAAAAAAAATAATCTTTGAACATGGAGTTTTGTGATTATGACAGAATAGCAGTTTTGGAAACAGGCATTGCTTTGTGTTTTTTAAAACCTTAAAAAAAAGAATAGTTCTGCGAACGTAGTACAGTTCTACATTAACAACAGTGATAGTTTTTTTTTTAAACAGGTTTACATGCGCTCACAACAGCAAAATTTTGAACAAAAACAGTATGAAAGAAATGGGGAAGAAAATTCTGAAAAAAAGCCAGCCACGAGCAGCACACCTCACTGATCTCAGTGGGACAGTCCTTATAAGATCATTTCCATTGAAAAGGCAGCAGTCTTTTTTCTAAAGAAAAATAAAAATAAAGTTATGTTTGAGCCTTCAATGTAATATTATGTTTTTATCCTTGACAACATTTTGTAATTACAAACAATGCATAATTAAGAGTAATCACTGTTATCTCAGTAGGTGAAAAGTCACTGTCAAGACTAACCACAACTACTAAAAACTTTTCTGTAAGGAACTTGGCTGCCTTTTCCATCCTTTATTATTAGAATTACTTCTTGGAGCACATTTAGGTGTAAAAAAAAATATATCTGAATTTGCACTTACATTCAAAATACTTGTGAAAGTCGGCTGCATTTAGATGATGAAAATGTCTCTCTTGTTACAATGTACCAGTGGTAGTTACTGCTGGGAAGTTAACAATTTGGTTTCTCAGAAACTGTACAGCAGCTTTACATTGAAAAATGTATTTAAAACTATGATATTTTTAAGATGTAAGCAGCAAAATGAAGTAGATGTTTTAGTCATTTTAACATTGACTACATGAAAACAATTCCATTTCTCTATCGATTTCAGAAGGAAGGCCTGCAATTAAGCTTTGGAAAACATATCCATTATTTCTAGTTGGTATGATGCTTTTGGCTATATTTAGGGCTACAGAGTATGCTCTACAGCACCTATAGCCACATAATAAATACCTATGCTTTGTGTATTTATGTGGCATGTTGCTTTTGGCTATATTTAAACGATGTATTTTGCCTTCTTTTGTGGTCAAGCTAGAACATTTAATAACATGGTTGACAAGTAAAAATCTTCGATAAGTGCAGAAAATCTTGCACCATTCATTTGTTAAGTGGTCTGGAATTCACTGAGCTCCCTGCACAATCTTGCCATTGTTAATTCAACAACTAAAATGCAGTTTATTGAAAATACTGGCTATGGGACATACTAAAAGCAAATTATACAAATCAGCTCATCTATAGCAGTTTTCTCTATTGAGAAAGGGCAATTGATTTAAAAATTAAAGACAGACAATTAAGAGTCATCTTTAAAGTTTCACTATTTTGTTAAAATGGGGACCTGAATCTGTTATGCAAGTATGCCAGAGTACTGAAAGACACACAGATACTAGAACGAACAAGAAACTCTGGTAAAGAATGCTTGGATGCGTAGTTGTGTAGTTTTATGTACTCCTTTCAATTTCAGGCTCTAAAATAGTATTGACAATCCAGTAGCATAGCAAATACTGCAAATTGTGATGAGCCATGTAGAACTGCATTGTGACTCTTAAAACACCTGAACTATGCTCTCACCACTAGAACTTACCTCAATGTGATTTTTACAGATTCTGAATCAAGATCGCTATCTTCATATTTTTCTTACCCAGAATCTTACATGGTGTTACTAAGTTTTTAAAAAAAAGTCACCTTAACTAAATCAAGAAGAGTAAATGAGCAGGACTGCATGTTCTTTTATTACCTTCTGTGCAAGAAATATCCATTGTATCTTCTATTCCACAGGTTCAGTCTGCCAAGTAAATAATTAAAATGAAATTAGCAATTTTACATTAAAGGAAAAAAAATCATTATCAGCACCAGTGTTCATACTCAAAACCATCTAGCTGTTTAGTTACATTATATTAATTTTATCTTTAGTATAATACTAAAGAAGAACACTGTAAGCATCAATTTAAACTCCAACATCAGTTTTTATGGTTTAAGCAATATTCTCTTACTATTTCACAAAGCTTATTTTTGCTTTTTAGATGATCTTCCTTTACTTTGGATAAATCTGCTCAGAGTTTGGTAAATACTGTAATCATACCAAGCTAACTGTATTAAATCCACCTCATGAAATTTAGCAGAGTCCCATTCTGAAACCTCCTATCACATGGATTGAAAGAAAAAATTTACTAGTAATAGTGGACCAAGTTCTGTTGATGTATCACAAGATAAGTGGAAAATACAAACACCATAATTTAACTAACAGGTACTGTAGCCTGATCAAGGATCATTTATTTTGCTAGTATACTTTCTATACACAGTGTGCTATATTTTAAAGATGGATCATCTCTCATCTCCCTGCATTTTCCAGAAATCCTCATCAGCAATATGTTATCTCCTGTTCTGACACACCTTATGCTTGCAGCCATATATGTTTCAACTTTATCTGTAAAGCTGTAGATAATCTTAAAATAACCACAATAATTTCATTTGAAAGCATTAGAAATAACTACAGCACACTTTCTCAATACAATTTGCTGACAGTAACTTTTAAGCAGCACACATTTAAATAGGTGTCTTGCCGTTAAGCTGCATAGACATTTTGGCCAGCAGTTGAGAGTGAACAATGCTGTGAGCAACAGCACATTTAGCTGCGTGGTGCCAAGTTCTTAATGGTTTTCTATTAGCTGAGCACAACTCGCAAAGCGTGAGCACTAACTATTCAAAGGGTGAGAGCAGGCAAACATCCAGTAAAAGAGCAAAGCCCACATCAGAGATCACACAAAGATTTATCAGAAAGATTTGGTGTCCACAATGAAAAGTTATATTCTGAAAACATGAAACAGACACTACAGCTATTCGACTTCACTGATCCATGTTCATTTTATCTTGCCACGAGACTTCCTTTCTACTGTCTTCTTTGGCTGGAACAAAAGAAACCGATTTTCCTTTTTAATCAATTAATTTTAGTTTGAATGAATGGAATAAGTCAAAATGCTTTGTTTGCATGTGGTAGATTCTCCTGTATTCTTCTATCTCTACATCTAACAAAAGTCATAATCAAAGAGTCCTTTGCTAATACTGGGGATCCAAAGTCAAGAAAGCTTGTGGCCATTAGTTGGGGGTTTTTTTGTTGGTTTTTTTTTTTTTTTTTTTTTTTTCTTTTAAAAGTAATGACATTGCAGATTATTTTACTTTTTGTAGGCTACTTACATTCTAAATGAACCTCTGCACTGTATGCATCATTAAGGATGGGAAAACAAGTAGAAATATAAAATAACGTAAGCAGAGATAAACAATTCTAGAGGCAGAGTGCCCCTAAAAATGCTTTCTCTCCCAATTCTGCAACACTATATTCCTGTACATGCAGGAGGAATTGAAAAAAACCCAAGTATTTTTCTACTTAGCTTTCCTTGAACACACTCTGAGACAGTAACGGTGAGGAGCCAGTTCCTGTTTTTCTTTCAAAGCAGAGTATAGAGAGCATTTAGACGTTTACCATCAAAACGTTTACAGTCCACAAAAATTGATATTTTGATGAGCCTAGTTGAGCAGATCTTACCCAAGAAAACAAACCCAATTGCTACATGTTCTACTTATTTAATTTAAATATTTAATTTAAGCAATCAAATACAAATATTTTTGTTATTTCTCCAATAAAAGTGAATTAAATGATTTGCTCCTTGTCTAGATTGCCTGCTCTGATTTTTCATGGCCAGATTAGCAGAGTTTAAATATGCAAAGCTATGGGAGGGAATATTAATTTCACTACACACTGGAGAGGAAAAAAAAGAAAAAACGCATACACGCAGAGAAGCCCTTCAAGCTACTGCAATGGAGCACTCCAACAGGCAGCTCCATGGAGCAAGTCCACCTTGTCTGCTCTGTTACTTTCAGGAGACACAGAAGAGCTGCCCAGCAGCAAGGGATGTCATCTTCCCAACTGAACTCCTGTCTGTAAACAGGCTGGTGGTTACAGCTCCAAACCTTTCCATCATGTCTACATGAGGAAAGCGCATGAGGTTGGGAGCATGCCTCCCATACGTTCACATAGCTGGGGGGAAGGCATCAAGAGATCCTGCAGTTTAAGAGAGCTCCATGATACAGATTTTGCTTTTTCAACCCCTATTGCAAAGGTTAGGTCCCTTAGGTAGCTGAGGACAATTCATAGCATTTGAAGGGTACCAGATTACGAATTCTCAGTAAAATCTGAAGTTCAATAGCTCACTTGATTATTAAATCAACACATTGTCACTATCCATGGCTGAACTGGTTTGTCTGATACAGTAGTATTACTTTTAAAAAATCTCGTTACTTATCTCTGCTCTCTATACTATACTAGATTTAAACCTTTCCATGCAAGGCAACAAAAGATTAAGCTTCTCTACAAATAACAAACTTTGCAGTTTAGTCTACACCAAAGAGAGTCACACTTCGCTTGAGTTTCACCGCAATATTCAGTCAGCTCAGGTTTAGAAGCACCACACTATTTACACATGCTCTCAGAAGAGGCTTGGGGCTACTGAGTGTAAGAGCATCGGAGATTCAATCTCATGGACAAGCTATTCTCTTATAATCTCTAGTCACCTATCCTCTTATGATCAAACAGAAAATCAAATTTATGAAAAAGTGATTTATAAAGACTGGTTGCATACCACTTTGCTGCTACAGTGGCAGAAAGGAAACTAATACAATACTGTACCTGTGGCACTTCTTTAAGAAAGTCAGGAAGCTGAAATTCACCTTTATAGACCTGGAAAAACAAAAAAACAATATGCTACTCAAAAATAGTATTCACTACTGTGTGAAACGCTAAAGAACTTGCTAAGGGAAAAAAAAAAAAGAAAAAAAAGAAAAGAGGGATTCATTTGGGTTATTAGCATCCAGTCATGCTAAAACAGATCTACCTAAACAGAGCACAATTTGTGAAAGCAAGTTTTATTCATGAAGCTTTGTCTTCCGAAGTAGTTCTACAGCTGCATGCTCAGTCCCAGGCTTGCTCTGTATTCAACACTGACCTCGTCTGCATTAAAATTGTAAAACTATACAACTCATTGCATTTCAACCTTGCTCAAATTATTAAGTCACGTGTAATCCATTCACTATGCTTTTAGAAAAATCTTTTTAATAGGATGATTAAATACACTAGGAGTGAGTTGCTACAATACATACTTTTAAAAAGTTTATACAGAAACAAATCTGTTGCTCCACATTTTAGTACCTTCATTAAATTAAGTTCCCTTTGGGCTTAATTACAATTCACAATTGAAAGATTCTCTACTCAAAAGCGCTACCTGTCATGATCTTATGGACTGTGACAGAACTGATATACCAGCCAGGCACCAAACAACATTCAGTTCTCAAACATTTACATTTTACAGTTGACAAATGTCACATAATACAACACCTTCTGATGTGTCAGAGTATTCATTATGTACAGAATATATATCATTCACACAAACAAAAGTATCACACTTGAGCAACCGATCCCGTCTTACTACGCTGTCAAAGGAAGTTCTGTTAGTTTCGATATAGTTCATGGAGACAATGCAATTACAATCAAAGTCTGAAAATACTAACAACTTAGTTTTCAAAGTTGTTAAAATGGTCAACATGCAAGGAGTGCCAGCATCTCCTTCTACCCTATTTTACACATATCTATCCCTTTATTCTACACATCTAGCTGGTGTAATTTTCAGATAACAGGAAAGTTAATACATTTGCTTTAATCCTTAAAGATACACAGATACCATTATAATAGGTAGAGATATATTACTAGCAATTTTCCCCCAGTACTCTGTTTCAGACCTTGAGTCATTTAGCAAATATACTGCATGAGATCAGATACCTAACTCCTTCCCTCACAGGCTGTAACCACATGTCCAAAATCCTCAGCTCCCGGAGGATAAGGCTTAAGTTTTCCTTTATTATTTTCATACCATTTAGTAATTAATTTACTTTTCATCTACAAAAATTAAGAAAAAAAAAAATCAGTGGGATAATCCTTTCCTATTCGGACTAGATGATCATTATAGGTCCCTTACAACTGGAATAATCTGTTCTGTACTAATAGACATAGATTTAATAGCTTTATATATGAGTACAGAAGACCTCCACTTACTAGTAGGGCTGTCACAAAGCTACAGTCAGCAACTCTTATGATTATGAATTTCTACAACTGTAGCCTCATTACCAGCCTGACTTCATGAGAATTTGTCCTTACCACGATTTTGAATCTTTTAGAGCATAATATTAATTCTGAAACAATGTTGTCTGAAGAAAGAGCAAGGAATAAATATCCTCAAAAACACCAACAGTCACACCAAACAAGTGTTTCCACTATCTAACCAATTAGGAAATAAATTGGCAATGTATTGTCTTCACTCTTGAGGATACTTCTTAAAAGCTCTTTGCTTCTGAGATTAAACTGGAATATATTCCAAAGCAGGATGAAAAAAATTTCTGTATTATTAGTTTGTTGGGATTTTTTTTTAAAAAGTATATGTGGAAGATTTTTACCATCCTTCCTACTGAACCAAAAAGACCGAACACCCTAATGTCGTGAGTTCTTTGTAGTCCTGTGTAGCTGAAATCATACAAAAATCAAAAGCCACAAGCCTACGTAGAAAAATTCTATAAAGCCGTAAAATAGAAATGGGGCTACTCTAAAGCCTCACTGAGTTGCACTCCCTGGTTTGCAAATTGCTTCAGAGGAAGAAGATTGAGGAAGTCAAAGGATGCTTATTAACAGTATCCATTTTCTCTGCTTTCCTATGAATAGATGACCAGAATATAAAGACATAGTCATTTTGTCAATATGCTGCAGTGGCCTAGGACTGCAGCTGAGTCAGCTCAGAATTTCCTGTCCGTAAGATGCCTGCCTCACCCCACAACAGCCCTGCAGCATTAAACCGTATGACTCATGTGGAATGGACTTAGGAGCTGGCAGTTCTTACCAGTCTTTATCACTCTGCTAAACATCCAGACGACAAGGCTTCACTAAGTCCCAACATGAGAGTAGGAATTATTATACACATACATTGTGGAATCCTGTTCCTTCCGATATTGCATGTTTTAGATAAAATAGAAAGGCTGATTCAAACTGATAGGCACAGCTCTCATTTATATTCAGCCAGGGGGTACTGTCTTTCCCATAGAAACCTTAATGAAAGCCACGCTGGTCAAAAATTCAGCATTTGGCTTACTGGAGCCTAGATATACTATAAATATTTATAAGTGAAGGAGAGTATTTCATATTTTCAGCTTGTAACCAAGCCATTAAAATGCAGGCTGTGTTCTAGAGAGCAGAGATGGAAGTTACAAATCAACAATATTATCACATCAGAAAATGCTACAGAGCAATGTAGGAACAAGAAAAACCTGTATTTTTTATTAGACTAGTGCTAATGTTGGAAGAAACAGACAAGCTGCTTCAGCTTTTCTGCCAAACCACTACAGTCATTATCTAGGAATTCTTAAAAACAGTTAATAATGATGATGGTACATCATGACTGATTCAGAACTAGAGTGACCAAAACAATGTTTATCTCTCTCTGGAAGCATCCTTCTTTCCTTCTCCTGTAATTATGACTTGGTCTAATTGTTATATTTTTAAATCTCTATCTATATATCTGCTCTAAAAACTCTACCACTGTAATGCCCTGTGCAGGAACAGCATTTACTCCTAACAAACATTTAACAGTGGACAGTCACAGGTATTCATCCATCAGCAATATTAAGAAAAATAATTACACTAATGTCATAGCCTGAAAAGATAAGAAAATGTTTCGGAGACATTTGATATTATATTCACATGAAATATCACCATTTACACACCACAATTTACAAAAGCAAATCTAACCAATGACAGGCCTGAGAAGATTAGGCTTAACAAACAAGTATGCCTAATTTTGGTTCAGAACTGACATTACCTAGAATGCTGGTTTTGTCAAGATTGAGACTGCATAGAAACTAGTTTAAAGTAGTTCCAAAAACATAAGTGGTGCCTTTTGAATTAAAACCCAAGGATCTACTGAAATCCAGAAACTGTAAAAACAATGACTCCATCTGCAGCCAAAGAAATTAGGAGGTTTCAGATTCAAAATTAGTTTTTGACTAATTTCTAAGTCTAAACCACATTATTCAGAGTGGCAGCAGAGAGGCAGAAGCAGGACATTGGAACGATTTCCAGTCTAAGCAAGAATTAAGTAAAATTGAGCAGAAACGGTGCTTACCATTTCCAAGGGAATTATTTTGGAAGTCCAAATAGATTTCCAAAGGGGGGAGGAAGAGAAATCTGAAATCTGTGTCAGTTTTTTGTTCAGTGTTGGCAGTATTCAAGCTGTTCTATTTAAAAAAAACCCCACCACATTCTTATAGCCAACCTAAATGCATATTATTCTCAAAAAGAGATCAGAAAACAAGTTTCGCATCCAATTGTCTGAGAAAACCCTTATAAATACACAAGAAAAACTTAAGAATTGAAATGTAACCTATAATTAATTTTTATAGAAGATTAAAGCACTCCTTTTCACCCACTTTCAAGCCTGGTTTAGAAAGAGTCACATTATATTCAGTCAGTGCCAATACATAGATATAATGGGGTTTTTTGTCTAAAAGCCTGCAACTACATGTACTTGGGCTTGGTAGATTTTCAAAATATCAAAGTTTCAGAGTATAAGGTTATCGATTTTTAATTGTCAAAAAAAAAAAAAAAGTAACACCGGCAAAAACAGGACAGAGCCCTTTTCTAAAAACAATCCTTTACTGCACAGTACATGGAGGTACCCTCACCTTGCTCCTTCAGACTTCCCTTAACTTTTAAGGCAGCTTACAAGGCTTACACAATTCTTCACCTCTTTGTTGGAACTGCCAGGAAGGGGGACATCTAAGATGTAAATATTTACCCAGTAGAAACAACACAGAGCAAAATTTTAAACAGGCATATAAATGTCTGCCAAAAGGCAGCTTGTGACCATACCTAATTTTGCATTTTGTTTGTTAATAACTCTGTACACCTTACTAATCATATACATGCATAGTTGATTTAAAAAAAAAAAAAAAAAAAAAGCAGGTATCAGCACCTCTGGAGAGAAACAGTGCAGTTGCAAATCAACATACTGAAAGAAACACCCATTAAAGAGGGTATTAAACATTTAAAGGACACTGAGAAAGCCTGTGCTGTTGGTGGTCTCTAAACAGATGAAATTAAACCTCACATTTTTGTTTTAAATATCAGAGAAAACACCCACAAAGCCAAATGCCTTTATGCTTAAGTTAACCAGTGTAAATAGAGATGCACGGCTTTCATCAGCCTGTCATTATAGTACACCTCCACAATTACACATCTTTGGTAGTACAAATAATTATTCTCATGCATTAGTATAAATATACTTTGCACCCTTTATCATAGACTGTTTTTGTCTTTGTATTTGAGATTTTAAAGTCTTGAAATCATGATTGTCATGGATGTCTCGACTCTTAACAGCAGGAGACATTTCCTCACAATTTAAAACAGGCACAAAACAGCAGTTAATAGAACTGTTTTTTCCTCTGGATGTTACTGCAGAAAATACCATCAACAGAACATAATACAGAGATAGATAACAGCTTTCAGATGTGATTAGAAGCCACACATATTCAAACAGTCATTATGAAAACCATAGCTTTTTCTATAGAGTTCTGTACACTTCCGTCTCTCGATCTCTCCAGGGCAAGGAACATAACTTCATGAAGAAGTTAAAAGAAGTGACT